ACTTCTTACGACGCTTGGTTGTCTCAGCGGCGACACATCTGTAGGTAGTATGCTGCGATTTAGATCTTCAATTGCTTCTTCAGCTGGCACAAATATGTCAGGGCACTGCTCTGAGCTTCGCATCGAGATCTCCTTAGTGATGTGCATGAAGCAATGGTAGCACAGGTAGTCCGTCGCACTCACTTTGGTGGAAAAGTCAGGCGGAAGAATTTGCTTCAACGAGTTTAGGTCCAACTCGCCAACACTTCGAAAATTCCGCTGCTTTGGTATAGTCTTTTTGTGTTTGCAAAAGTAATCTGCACAAAACACTCGTTCGGAGCTCCAGGGCGTCTTCATAATGTATACATAAATAATAGAAATTAAACCCCAACTGATGGCATATAATTGCCAAGTGAAAGAACTACTGGGTGCACAAGTGACAAGTCCGAGGCTGAGGAGCTCACTCACTGCAAACGTACATTTGAAAAGAGAGGTCACAACTGAGGCTGTCGGCAAAGCTTGATCCACGTCAAAGGAAGAAAGAGGGAAAGTCTCCAGACAAAAAATTGTGGTCAGCGGCCTTCAAAAAAGACTTTCCAGAATCGCACTGTCGTCCCTCCACGCGCTGATACGAAAGCACCCGAGCTTCTACCACGTGGTTCATGACACAGCCTGAGCCATGTCGGCGACCGGTTCGCGAGGGGTTGGCGGTGGGGTTACGTTGATGGTCACTCGGATTAGCCCTTGCTGTACTGAGCTACCGCCTGCAGTGCCTTATCGCCGGCTGGTGTCAACAACGAGAACACACACACCCTGTCTACACCAAAACTACAAGCGTTCACCGCACACGCGTCGCCGCCGCTTTTAAGCTTTTGTGAAATTGCTTTCTTTTGCCGCGGAGAACCGCCTTATCTTAACTACGCGCCTGAAATCCTTCCAGGCGGGCGTACACAATATCAAGCGTTTCGAGAAATGCCCGTGGAGTAAAACTATGGGAAAATTCGGAGCCCGCTATGTTGATATCGTCGCCGTTGTGTTAGTACGCCGTCACGTACTGCAGTCCCCCGTTGGGGGAGGGGGGGGGGGGGGGCGGTCTTACTACGATAACATGGCGACAGCGTTTACACTCTATGTATTTACGCGAGGCTCGAGTATTTGGGGATAATGCTGCCGGTTGGTGTGCCCCTTTGTGCCTGGTATTATCGCCCGTGACGCCAGCGAGTGAGATGGCGACAGGCATGACTGCTCAGTAAACAGGCGTCGGCAACCATGTTTTGCTGGTTGAAGCGAACCCCCTTGTCCTTGACAGCGAGCGGGGAAATGCGAAAAAAAGATTGTATCGGCCGTTTTGCCAGGACTAGCGACGAGTGTCGTCTGCGGTTTCCGGCAACTATTTTGCCATAATCGTGAGCTTAGCGAGGAAATGATTTTTGCTAGCCACAGAACACTACCACGCAGAAAGGGAATGCTTGAACATGTTTTTGTTCTGGATATATATCAGGGATATATATGAGAGAGAGAGAGATGAAGGTAGAGCGGAAGAGGAAATAGCATATAGTGTCGCAGGAGAATAAAGTAAACAAAGTTCCTAGTGGCCGATGGCTGCATGATCTTTTCTCGGATCACTAGTCCGTAATATGATACCTCTTTGTACACAGTAGTTTCTCCTTAATTTAAGTGTGTGAACGATTTCTTTAGTTATCATTGGCCTCATCTGAATAAAAATATATAAAAGATGTGTGTTGGTTTCATGAAACTGGAACTCAGAGTCAGTTCTTGTATAAAACACTGCTAAGTGTAGGCTTTGAAAAAGGACCCTACTTTGGGGAGTTGTATCTTCTTTCTCAATAAAATGATGCAACATGTTTTTAATGGAAATGAATGCCGAAATAGAGTATAACAGGTTACCTAAATTTAAAAAAAATCGAGGGTGTTTTTTTTTTATTCGCATCGGAATTTTTCTTTGTTTGATTTTTTTTCCATGTTTGACTAAATATATCCTAACTATTGTATCACACAGATACCTTAGTTATTTTTTAAATATTAGCTATATATTAGTAGAATAATATCTGCAAATTATATCATAATGATTAAATTATTTTATGAGATACAGACCTCCAAAGTTTGCCATTTGTCGTTCGAGCAGGCATGTTTGTCAATTTTTAGAAAAATAAATAAATTTTAAATAAATATGATTACTTTATATTACAAGCAAGCTATACCCATAGTTTGCGCCTAAAACGTATTAGAGTTCTCCTAATGTTATCGCTTTAGTTATTCACTCTCAAACGGGCCCCCTCCATCAGTGCGCGTTAATGTAGCTGTCCACCACCTCATGCCTTGCGATTTTTCCTGTCCCCAAGTATTTTTTCTAGTCAAAACTAAGTTTGGATTCGTTCATACCAGACACTAGACAATAATATATAAAAACATCAGTTGATTTGAAAATGTCGACTAGCCATCCTTTGGTTGATCTTATCTGAAATCACCCAGTAATTTCCTTTTCTCTTTAGCAAACATCCGTAACACTTTGCTTCATCATTCTTTGGAAATGTATTTTGTGACAGTGGACCAGCATGGTCACTCCAGCTCGAAGGGACCATGTCACGGTCAACAAAAAAAACGCTAAAAACCTTTCTGCACGAATTACACCGTTATCAGTCTCACATTGAAGGAAACTCCCCGGACTTACTGGCGTGTCCGAGGTCCCGCATCCTTGCGTTTGGATGAATAAACATGCGGTTAGATGTTTGCCGCCGCATGAAATGTTCACGTTGCAAGTGCAAGCACTGCAGAAGCCTGTTGTCTCGCCTTTCTTCGATGGTATGAAGCGTGGAAACTATGTCACAAACAACTTTGCAAACACACTAAAGTATCTCTTTCAACGTTTCTCGCACACCATCGCTGCATAAAATCAGGCAGGCTGAAGGAATGCCATGAATGCCACACGTAAAACAGATGCGCACATTGGACACGGCAACTGGGCACGTAACAAAAAAAAAAAACAAGCAAAAAAAGCCATAACGAAAAGCCAGATGCAACTAACCAGGAACAAAGGCTGCAGGCACAGCAGGTCGAGGGGTTCTGCATTTCTGTCTGTGGACTTAGGATGGATGGATAGTACCGGTAGGAGTTAAAAATGTGCCAGCAGTACAGCATTAAACCGTAAAGTAAGGTTTGAATTCATGAAATTTGCAAAGAATCCAGTAGAACTGGCAGGTACGTAGACTCCTGTTGCTTTTTCATGGTTTGCACAAAAACAAATTGCTCTTTGGGGAGTCTCGGAGCCCCTAAATGTCTTTAATTCAACTACTTTTGTACTATGTCCTCAAAGCTAGCAGTTTCTGCAGTGCTCCAACGCTCTCAAAGCAACTTGTGCAAGCATGGCTGGCCTCATTTGGCGCCTCCTTTGCAGGGGAGCACGTGGGAATGAAGGAAACATGCTCTCGCAGTAGTGCACGGCTGCAGCACTTTGAAAGCTACACTTTCCTTGACAACGCAGCACAAAAGACAGTCGGTGACCGGTTAAGAATCTAGTACAGATGCACTGCTTTGAGAGTGAGCTTTCTGCCCTTGATAACACTTTGTCACACATGAAACCAAAGCTCGGCAGAAGGCAGCAAGCAGACGCTGGGGTCTTCACCTATCACTGATTATAGACCATTTTACTAGGGTGAGAAGAGAGGTGGAAATGAGCCTCCATGCTTGGGCAGTTCCTAAGGTAGAGCCCACCGGAAGTGCCCAAACAATGAGAATGGCGCGTGCTCTTTCCCTCTTTTACCCTGCCAAATCGGTTGAAGTGCCCGCAAAGGACAAGCAGTTTGTTGTCTGCTCTCGGGATCTGGCGCGTGCCCTTTCCCTCTTTCACTCCGACGATTCCGCCGAAATTCTCGGATGTATGTACAGTAAAACCTCGTTATAACAAAATGGGATATAACAAACTAATGGATATAACAAAGCAATCATAATTCCCCTTGCTTGAATAGTTGGAAGAAATGGATATTGGCTATAACAAACTAATGGTTATAACGAAATAATTATGACCGCTCCTTCAACTTCTTTATAACGAGGTTTTACTGTAGATGGCGCATCAGTCGAACAAAATGGAGCCGGCTAGAAAGCCCTTAGTGAAATGGTCCAAGTTGGCGCCAAGCGTGGTGTTTGGCGACATGCCTGGCTATAATTTGTCATATGCGTTAAGCGCGAGACACATGCACGTCAAAACTGTCCGATCCGACGTGCGGAGGTGAGGGTTTTTGTTGCACCGGAGCACCGAACAGGGGCTCCGTCTGGCACCAATTTTCGGAGCCGCGGCCAATGGCTGCATGGATGGCGCGAACGTCATGTTGTCACGTGACTTTTGGACCGATTTGGCAAGGAGGCACTATGTGGCTTGGGGAAGCAGATGTGGCGGTGGGCAGTGTATCACGCGACGCAAGTCGTCCTTGTGAGTGAAATGGACGCCATCAAGTTTTCCCGCACGCACAAAACAAGCTGCTGATTTTGCACGCCGTAGCAAGCCGGCTTTCTGGGACCGACCGAGACCGTCGAGACACGAATATACTCCATTTCACCTTACGATGGACAGCAGCGGACACTACTGGCCATTCCAATGTTGCGCGAGTGTTATGTGAACTTCGGGAGAGATGCAGCAATGTGCGCGGTACGTGGTCACGTGATTTGTACGCAGTGCTCGCTTCACTGGGATGGCTCCTAAGGTCCGCTGCGGTCTGCCGTGATCAAGTGGTGTTGAGGAGAAAAGTAACCTCACATAAGGATTCAGACAGACAGCATCCAGCTATCCATTCGGTAGAGGGATACTTGAAACTGGGCGGAGCTGAACGGAACGACCCCACGACGCGTCGGAAGCCATGGGTCTCGAACTGTCGTGTGCGGCGATTTGGAGCGGCCATCTTTCCGACAGTCCGCATGCCGGATCGGAGTTTTGACATGCATGTGTCTTGAGCTTTACCAGTCACCTCCCGTTGCCAATGCATTCGTGTCCGCAACCACCCCCCCAGCCGTCTGCTGCGACCACGTGGAAGGCGGCATGTACATCGGGCCAGAGTTCCAGCTGGGCCAAGTCTACGACGGGTCCATGGGTGTCGAGGAGGGCGAGACGGTGGTCCTCTACCGCCCCGTCTACGTCTCCATCCGGAATCCCACCAGGGGTGCTTCCGGCTCCGCCAACCAGGCGGGCACCAGCAACGAACGGCACGACCGAGTGTAACTGCGCAGGCTCCACCAGAGCGCGCCTCGCGACCAGCCGAAGCGGCAACGAGGTCGTGCATCGGGGCAAGTGTGCATGTGTATGCGCGTCAGGAACAAAGGTCCCGTCATCCGCGACAGGACGGGAGCTGACTGAACGGACCCATGCACTCCGGCGACCGCTTCAACTCCAGCTCAACTTTTGCCGGGACACGTGTTCTTCGGAGTGTGTGCTTGTTTGTAGCGACACGGGCAGCCGGGAGGCCTTCTTTGTTTTTGCTAAAAGATGGCCTCGAAACCACGGTTTAAGGCAAGATCACCACAGAGAGTTATACGCTCTAGACGCTGCCATCAATGCAAAAGATGGTATGTCATTACCACAAAAATTCTTCTCCGCTTCGCAAGAAACCAGGAGCGGCCAAAACGATTAACGTGCTCGAGGACTGCAACGATGTGATAGTTGTGCGGCGCGAAAGGCTGCCGGAGATTCGAAGTTTGGGCCATGTGCCAGGATCAGATGCCAGATACCGATCAACATTTTATTGGGCTTGTTGCACATAGTGCGTGGCTTGGGGCAGTTCTGTCTTAAATTTGTGGAGGGTTTGGTGCGCGAAAGTGCAGATGGCACACTCCGGACAAGGAATCTGCATGAATGCTGTCCATAGCTTGCGCGGAAAAGATGCAAGGGCCTGCACAAAATAAAGCTTGGCCCCACTAGCGGACTCGTAGCAGAAGCTTCCCCTTATCAAAGTAGCGAGCAGTTTTGGCTCCGAGCGCGGCAGACTTCATCCCACAGAGCGTCATCTCTCGGACTTTACCGGAGGCTTTGGGGCCCCGCTGAAAATGTCAAGCCCCGCACCCAGCTCTCGAGCAAAGATTCTTTAGCTAGCATTTGTAACAAACTCATCACTCTGGGTCACTGCTTCGTTCGAGCTCCGGCGACTAATACAGGGTTTGGAGCGCGCCGCGGCTACGGAGAGCATGCGGCAAGACGCCTCCTAGAAACAAAGCATTTTGCGGGACGACCGCTTGAAAGATACGGAGGGTCGACCGTCGCCACCGAGCCTCCGGCAAGGGTCGACAGACGACCCCAATCTATACGAGGCTGACGCGTGCCTACCGTCGACCCGCGTTCCGAGACGGTTTGTCGGACCGTACGTTGCAAGGGCAAGCACATCACTCGTGGTAGCGGATCACGCGACGGCGGCTCGCGTGCCGCGGTTGCGAGGTCTTCACAGTTCGTCCGTAGAGCGTTTGAGATGACCCGACACCCCCTTCCTTTCGTGCGACAGTGAAGGCTCGTTTGCAGCCAAACGTGCACCCATCTATAGTTTTTTTGCAAAAAAGGTTACCTGTGTTTGTTGGCCGTCGTGTTGTTGGGTGTTTCTCAGGTGCTTGTTGCCGAGAGCCTCTGTGCGCTGCTGTTGTTCTTGAGTTTCCCTAGCCCTCTTGTTTAGGTTGACTGTTGCGCGCGCTTTCAGTTAGACTCGTGCGTGCCGCAAAACTTGAGGGACCGGCGTGCCTGGCGTCTTCCGGCGGATGCAGGCGCGCTGGCCGTCCGCTGTACAAAGTAGCGTGTCCCAAGTTTGCACATTTCGGGGTGTCGTCCGTGCAAGGGGCCGCGCCAGAACAAGCGGCGCTTAGCTTCTCGGCGATGCACGACATGGGAGCGTAGTAGCCCGTTTTCTGTTTATGGCCCGGAGCATCCTCCGGGAGAAAACGCAGCAACAAAAAAAAAGACGATTTTGATGTTGGCAAACGTAGTTTGATGGTATTTTACTGTACGAATTATAACGTGTCGGCTGTTAAATGGAATAAATCTTACAACACAGACACCGTCGATTTGCACAGCCAACCTCATGACGTTACAACTGCAGCGCGCCTTCAAACACCCCAGGTAAGTCCAACATTCAAAGACAGTCCAATCTCAAACACTGGTATGAATGTTTCCACCAAGTATACTTCCTTTCAGCTTGAATCCGGACGTAGCCGACGCTACCAGCTAGTGGGACCAATCAAACAGTGTCAAAGGCATAAGTAATTGGGCCTTCCCTGTATAAGAATGGTTCAGCGATGATAGCACACATAGAAACATAGTGAACACCACGTTGGTGCAGTTATGACGTTGTATGATAGGTCCCACCAGCTTGTAGTGTCGGTGTCATCCGGACTGAAGGCGAAATGAAGTATAGAACAATTGAGATGAAAGTTATGATGCTGCGTCGCCACGGAGCAGTTCATCGGGTACCATGTTGAGCCAGTACGACGGTAGGCAACGTTCCGGAATCGGGCGCGGCGTCGAACGGAACGAAATGGCGCGACAGTCCGGATCGTAACACTTTTGATAGTATGTTCCCGCCTGGACGTCTGCCACAAACATGACGCCGTTGCTGCGATGCTCCCTACCAATGTTCTCGCAGAAACGGTACCCCGCCAAGTCGTAGACCAAGGTGTCTGTGTCGGGAAAGAAGGTGACGTGGCGAATCGATCCGCGGGGCACCACCAGACCTTTCACAAAGTCATCCAGCTCCGGATACGGCGAGCTCATGCTTCTGAGCGGTATCTCTTGAGCCTTTGTGCCTGAATCCCAACGAGTGTCGTCCTGCGGTCTCGTGAACTGAAGCAGCTGATCCGGTTCGTCCGTTCCAACACACCACGTCACGAGGCTGTCCAAGAAGACATCCTGTTCTTCGCAGTCGGCGCCCAACGACCGGACATACTCGTCGTTCTCGGAGACGACCAACGGTGTGTTCTTCCTCAGCTTGGTGCACTGGAACAGCCTGAAGTTGCGGTTCCTTGTGTACACCCCTTCGTCGACGAAAAGCGCCGCCCCTCCGTGCCGGCTTGTCACAAACGGACTTTCGTGGGACTGTGGCGCTTTGAGACAAGCGCCGCTTCTCATCTTTCCGCAAACGAGCCGAACGAAGGCCCCTGCCTCTCGATTATTGCAGAAGAGCCGTGTTCGTTGGAAGATGAGGTGGCTGCTGAACTTCTTTTCTGTGCTCGAGTCCAGCCAGAGCACGTCCTTGGGTCGGCAGTCGCTGCCGAAGACCACCTTCCACTCGCGGCAGACGACACGGATTAGTTCCCTCACCATTGCGGCGCCGTCTCTGCTTGGGTTCGGTTCTGTCTCAAACTCGAGGTCGAAGTAGAGCTTGCAGGGAGCGTCCTCAGCGATGACCTCGTACATGCAGCGGTCGGAGGGCCTTCGCATCTGGAGCACCTTCCAGAGGTGGAGCGGGTGGGTGACGAGAAAACCGCGCTTGCCGCTCGCGTCTCGGTCCCTGAGCTCGAACGAGAAGACGCGTACGTCTTCGGGCATCTTGCGTACAAAGGACAGAGCTTGCGACTGGACTGGAAAGACCTTCCAGACGACCGTCGGCCCCAAGAGGCCCCCCCTGAACTGGACGAGGCAGGGCGGTTTCTGGAGTTTAGACACCCTCCGCTTGACCTTTTCGACGATGGGGCTGCCTTTCGGGCTTGCGCCGTAGAACGCCGACGTCTTGAGGCCAACCCTGAGCGTTTGAGGACGCTCGGACTCGTCGATTTCGCTAGTCATCTTCGTTGCTGGACGAGGAGCTGTACTCGAGGCCTAGAGGGTGGCGACGTTTCGATCCCAACCTTGGCTTAGATTCTCTGTCCAGCTCGGATGGCGCGACATTCTTTTCTTTCTCGACGAATTGCAGCGGCTGATCTTGCAAGGGCAGCTCCGGGAATGTTGGACTGTCGCCTTTGAGTGGTGAATTGGGTTTGGGCTCCGAGTCCAAGAGAGGTGTCGGAATGCGACGAAATGGGACCTCCCCTAGAAGATGAATTGGAGCGAGGACGTGCGTTAGATGCTTCTAGCGCAGCTCAAAAATTAATGCAAAAGGCACTACCCTCACAAGCTTTACTGATTTTCTTATGGTGCACTCATACACTAATAAGCCTAAACATTAGTTGAATGCAAGCGTTTGTTACTGTCGAACGTAACTCGTGCGAGCACGGACGTACGCGACTGATAGCCAGAGACTAAACGTAGGAACAAGAACAACACGATTATGTTTCAATCATCGTCAGTTTCAAGTGATTAGTCATATAATGATATCACCAGCCCACCACCATGTTTAAACTCACTTTGTCCACACATGCAGCATAAATGGCTTGTGTTGTTTAGCAATGAATTAATAAACATATCCTTTGTGCATGATGGGAATGAACAGCTTAGCAAACGCAGACAAGGAAAAAGACACAACTGTGACTATACAAAGCTATGGTTGTCTTTTTTTGTCTACATTTACCGAGCTCTTTGTCCCCGTCGTGCAGACTGTGTGACACTGTTAGGAAAAAAGACGACACTGGCGCTTTTTCGCTTTTTGTTTAGAAAGGTTAGTGGCAGTTGTCAAATGTTACCGCTAGGTTACTGCCCTGAATGAGGGCTTCCCACCACAGTACACTGGTAGTTTGGATGACAGCATTTCAAACGGAAGAGAGAAACAGAAAATGAACTGGCGATCGCTTGCTTGCACTAACAGCATTGCGCTGTGTACGACGCCTATCAACTAGCCAGGGTTCTCCTCAGAAAGCTTTTAGGGCTGGACATAACCGCCATGCAAATGGGGGGGGGGGGGGGGGGGGGGGGGGGGGGAGGGTACTTTGCAATGCAGTGTGACCTGGCTTGCCAATAAAACGGACTTGTAGGCTCTCTAACTCTGCAGCCCTGTGAGTGGTGCCATGGAGCGGTGATAAAACAAAAACCAAATTGCCTTGCTTGGGAGAAGAAAAGTGGGGAAGGAAAGACAGGGAGTGAGCAAAGAGGTGAAGATAAAGCAACTCCTCAGCCGAGCACCCCCCCCCCCCCCCCTCCCCCGCCTCCCTCCCCACACTGCCAACAGCGCTCTGCACTTCCGCTCTATTTGTTTGAAAGAGTGGCGGCAGTGGGCGATGCGATAAGACGCGATAATGTGGCTGTGCTTGGGCCTGCTGAGTACAACGGTTTGCGGCCATGTGCGCAGAAAAAATCGCATCGTCATCCTATGGCATAACTGAGCGGTGGGTGGTCAGTCAAAGCGGTGGGCAGCAAAGCCACTGCCGCCCACCGCTCCGACTGACCGCCCATTGCTCAGTTGGAGCGGTAAAGCTACTGCCGCCCAGCGTGGGGAGAACCCTGCAACTAGCTCAATTTGCAGCCTTGGGACATGTTCCTTGCCAATCGAGGCACTGCCACTGTGGGCACGGAACAGTCATCCGTTTGAATCTACACTCGAATATTAAGGATATGCCATCTGAAGCCTGAAACCGCAACGCAACCATACTTTCAGCACCTTGAGAGCCACCCCCCGTTTTGCGTCACAGTCTCAAGCCAAAGACGTTGGATCCTTGTCAGTTTGGCCGTGCATTCATGCGAGCAAACTGCAATGATGCGATTGGCCTAAGCGATTTCGGAGCACCTTTGAGAGCAGCCAAAACAGTGTTCTGGAGCAGCAAAAGTGGCTTTTGGAGCAGATCTTCTTAGAAAAATGAAAATGTGTGTTTTGAGTGCTGCACAAACGAAGGGTACTTTGTGTTGTGCTGTGTTCTGATGGGACGTGTTCTGATGGGACGTGTTGTGACCAAACTCGTTGCTTGCGTTTTTACTGGTGAGACATCCCACAGGTGTACAGTGCCGTAGACGTTGCCAAGTGATTCCGAGAAACTGCTTGCCACCGTTTTACTGGTTCCTGACGTGCCAGCTTTTTGTTAAAGATAAGCAAACTTAAAACAAAGGATTGCAGGCATCCCGGCTGGTGCCTCTGTCGTGCAATCATGTTCACATGCCTGTGAGGGTCACTTCAGCAGGCTTGCAGTTCCGCGTGCTTCGTCATGCAAGCGGAGACAATGGCTCTTTGATCGAAACAAAAACCATGCCACTCCGCTCCGTCACCAACTGATTCGATTCCCAAAATTGCATGCAAAATGTAACTGTCGAGGATACGACAAAAAACAGTGAAGTGGCGCGTGCTTGCCAGGCCGGCAAACGAGGTACAAGCTCTACACCCACAAAAAAAAGAACCTGAGCGCATTGATGCAAGACATCGCGAGCTAAGGTCAAAAAGTTCTTGGAGCGCTTTGTGCAATGACTGAACTCGAGAAAAACAAGTGCTGTGCGTGTTCAGCGTGCAGACATTGCCTTCTTTGCTTTAGCACTTCTCTTCACCAACTTTCTTTCGCAGATTTTTCACTTACCGGGGTCCCTCTCGAGAGAAAGCCCACCGAGAGAAACCTAGGTAATCAGTACTTCGACGCAGCAGTCTTTGAATTAAAGAGGGATTTCTGTAGTAACGTATGTAACAGGAACATTGATGAACATGCTGCGGTACTCAGTTTCATTTTAGGAAACGCCATATCTGCAGCGACGCGAGGAAACACCTGACGTCGCGCGGCGACGGCCACTGGAAGGAAGGGACCAAATATAGTTTTCCTACGCCCATTGCTTTCAGGAGCGAGTGCTTCAGCTCACAAAATAGCTCCAGCCATGCAAAAGCGTGGTTTCATTTCACAACACGACGGCATGGCTGGTACACGGCACGCTAGCGTTGGGGCATCCGCACACGCCCGCATTTTTTCATTGAAAATATTTAAAAAGAAGACGAGAGACGAGACCCCCGAGACAACGAGGAAGCGAGACAGCGGGAAAACCATGCAAGACCGGATGGACGGTTGATGCAGGGTACTTTGTGCTGGGCGGGCGGCCGGTTGTGCCCACAACACACGCAGTTTAGTAGTACTCAGTTTAGTTTCGGTTTTGAAAGGCGACCGAAATTGGATTTTGGTGCAGGCTTGGTGCAGATAACCCATATTTTGGCAAAACGTAGCAGGATATAGCAGGATGTAGCAAAGTTAGCCACTTGGTGCAGTTTGGCACAATTGGTGCAGCAAGCACACCACTGAAACAGGTGCATTTTCTGTGCACGTCACTCGACGTGTTCCACTAAACAGGTGATGCAAGGTGTTGCATAGGCCTGGCTACCTTTTTGGCTGGTTCCTGCCGAGATTTCGGCGTCGGGGACTTGGCCAGAGTCCGATGAGGTTCTCTTGTAGCCCGCCTCCGTCCAAGGCACGTCTGCAAAACTCGGGTCCAAGCGACGTAGCTTCCCGCAGAAAGCCTTGTAACAGCCTTTTAGCTTTTCCACCCGGTCGAGGTACTCGGCAACCTTTTGCTCCGAGTAGCAAGTAACCTGGAAAGATATATATTGAGGTATTTATCGCAGAAAGTAGAGAAGAACAGGACAGAAAAGAAAGCCTAAAAAGCAGCAGACAGCAAGGTTTGGAAGCGAAAAGCAAATTTTCTCAAAAACGGTGTGGATGTTTGATGACGGACTACCATAAACATTGAGGGAATTTTCTAAATTCTAATTTTTGCCTCGCGATTACGCGGCGGAATTGCAACATTTTGAAGGAAGGAGATCTGTTTCCTGTCCTTTGTGACAAGATAAACAATGTCAAAAGTAGAAGATGCAAAATCTTTCAACGTTAAAATCGTCGCACAGCACCTTTAAGTTGTCTACCTAAACAAAAAGTCGGCTCTCGGGAAAGGAAACTGAGAACTTTTAACTTACCACAGCCAATTGACTTTGATCGTAAAGCCAAAATTTTGTGGGAAAGAGGTCGCATTTTCTCAACCTTAGTGTCATTGAGAAAACCGTTTTTGTGGCAGGAAGCTTTCCATGCCTTGGGGTCATCTGAAGATTGCAGGAAGTCAGATGTTGGGCCGAACCTGGTAGCATTCCCTTCTTAAGGTAATAAGTATCACTCTTTACATGTGGTACTTCGAACGCTGACACAAATGGGAATATCCACCGTCGCATGCAAGACAGGGATGTCTACAAGGTACACACTGTCATGATAATCTCCTTGTACATGCTGTCATATTTTCCAAATACTGAAAAGGTGTACTATCGCGGATGCTGTTAACTACAACATGGCAGCCTTGGTCATCTTGTACCCCCCGCCACTTAGCAGGGACAGTCTAAAACACTGCGCCTATGTGCCCTGCCCGCCTATACTGTGTGGCAGAATTATTTTTCCGGGCTGGGATAACACTCTCGCCTTGTCGTCTGCTAGGTGGAAAGCAGACGCCACCACTGCACTGGCTGATGTTTGCTTCCCAGGCCTTTGCGGGTGCCTCTATCGGTATGATTCCCCGACTCACAGAAACGAGTCAGCCAAACAACCAACGAAGGGGGCAAACAGGGCAGATCGAGCTAAGCATAATCGTTGCCGATTATTGTATACATATCTCGGTAGATTACTTTTATTCTTTAAAGAAATACCTGTTAATATATATATATATATATTTTTTTTGTCAGGATTGTTGTTTTAGTTATGACTAGTTCGGTATGTCCCCGTCGTTGGATGTTTGGCCGACTCGTTTTTATGGGTCGGGAAATCTCCGTAGCGAAAGCAACACCCACAAAAGCCTGTGGAGCAAACCAAGTGTTGTGGTGCTGGGCATACGGAACGGCCACGGCTGACGTGTTATGGCTAATAGTGCCCGCGCTAGTACATTGCTCGGGAACCACGTATCATACGAATGCCTAGAGTGGCACGCCATAGGCAACCTGCAATGCAGTTTGGCGCTACACGTTGCACCATCTAGCGGCTGCAAAATAAAGAAACTGGGTAGGCCAGGCCTGCGCGGGTCGCGGGTGCAGCGGGCGGGCGCATCCATAAACCACATGTGAACGTTGCATTCCGAGTCGGCGTGAGCTTTTTTTGGAACCGTTTTTCGTAAAAGTAAGTCCCAACTTCCCAAGTCTCTACGACCTCACCGGGTTCCTGTAACATCTCGCCTACCTCTTAGAGTTCCCCCCAAAAAATAAACGCTGCTACTGCTGCGTGAAACACGGCCACAGTCGCGAAGGTGACTCAAGCGTCAAACTTCATCGCTTCCCTTCGAGATCTTGGGAAGCGACACGGCGACAGAAGTGGATTACTGCAGTGTGACGCATCAAGTAAGTGAATTTTACAGAAACTCTTTGGGGGGAAGTGAACGAAAATATATGTGCAGGCTCGGAAAGTGGTCGGACGAACTCGTTTTGCAGACTACTCGGCAAAATAACATATTACAAGTTATATTACAAGTCGCTTTGACAGCCACATGGGGAAATACGATAGGAACAATCGGGCCGATTGCTGCTTCGCTGTGACGTCGAGGATCGGGCGATCAGGTCTTCAAGCGATAGGCCCGTCGGCCCGTTCCGGCACCGCTAATGCCGTTCGGCATGCGTGCTCGCAACCAAAACCTTCCAAACCTGCGAGTGGATTTTCGTAGCACAACGTTTTGTTTGTTTCAGCAACCAAATTTAATGCTGAGTCTAGTAACAAATGTGACGGCGTGCAGAAACAGGCTGCTAATGTTTTTTGTTTGGAAAAATCTCTTGCGAAGCGTAAATATCCTTCCACGTATACACTTCGTTGCCTGTCGCCTTTTTACACCAGGCTTTGCGATGTGCGTACGGTTATGTAGCATGCTGAGTTCCAAATTTTATTCTAGTGTGTGTGGCCGTCGGGAGGAGAGGACGGCCGAGCAAGGCGCGAGCGGGGTCAGCCGGCGAGGAAAGAGGAAGAGCGTGCTGCACGAGGCTGGGACCGGGCAGGAACGATCGAGCTGTTCTGGCTGGTCTGGCCCATGGCGATTCCCGGGAGCATTCCACCAGCGAAGTTCGGGTCAGGACTGGCGGAAGCGGCGAGCCCTGGCCATACCGGCCTGGGCCATGACGATCCCGTAGTGGTTCCGCAGCGAAACTGACTGAGATAGCCCGGAACAGCTAGCCTACGCCGTACTGGCGTGGGAAGGACGATCCGCAGGCCTGGACACGGGCTCCGACTGCGAGTTCTGACCGACGGGCGACAACTAGGGTCGGCGGGTTCGGACTGCCAGCTCTCGAAGACGGGCAACCGGAATGTACAATAAACCTTTTCGCTGCCTTCTCGTTCTATTGTGTAACTTCCTGGGAGACGAGCGAAGCACAGGCCGATCGGGCGGCCACAAGTAGTGAAGACAACTCAAACTGGTGTCCAGATGACGACTCTAGAATATTCTCTAAACACTTGGACCTATCAAGGCTCCCGATGGTCTTAAAAAACCGCACGAAAAAACCAGGGACGCACGCAGGTGCACACGGGGACTGCTGAAATCGGGGTCGCCGCCGCTCGCAACGGCCCGGCGGGCAGATAGGCCGCCCCAGTAACAGAGGCGCCGCCGCTTGTGGCGCTGAATGCAGTACTATCGTGGCGCCGCCTGGCCATTGCCGGCTGCCTATACCTGAGCTTGCTTGAGACAAAAGTCAATCTCCCTCTTAACATCCGGCAGCCAGGTCCTGATCTCGGCTACGGTATTCAGCGATTCCTGGAACACAAGTGGGCAAAAGTCATAAACTTCACACCTGCCTCCTGGCTTCCTGTCTGAGCCTTTAAAAGAAGAAAGTTTGTCTCTCACAAGTCTGGGTCTCTTCGGATGAGCATTCGCGTACTCTTAAAAACAAACAAAAAAGGCGCGGTCTTAGAGGATTTCCTTTTGGCACAGGCTAGAGAGGAGTCGTCGTGTTTCCTTCTCACCTTGCTTTTCTTTCTCGAGGTGGAGCCTATTCAGCCTTGCCCATTGTTTTTCTTCGTTTCTGGCCATCGGTACAGGGTCTCATTTTATCCGTAGAAAGCACACCTCTACCGCCTCTACGATCGACCCTGCAAACTGCTGCAAACGGCTGAAATCGTTTCAAAATAGGCTTTGCACAGTGTTGTTTGAGGAACGGCTGAAATCGCCTTTACTCGGTGTAACGTTTGAGCTATTTTCAGAACGCAAAACACGGTCACGTAATGTCACACATTGTATGTTGTGTAAGGCATTATATTTTGTAAAACTTTTTATAAAAATGAAAATATGGCAATTAAACGAATACTTGAGCATCGCCAAAGTGAGACGATTGGTTAGTAGCGCTTTACATACGTAGATGGCGACGCTGTTTCTCTAGCAGACTAGCAGACTATTTTGACATCTGTCTGCGTGAGAAGCGATTTCTTTGGTCGGTTAGGTACTTTGGTTTGAAGTGATACAACTAAGTCGAACTTACAATGTTAATGACCCTAGACTTCATTTTGAGGCAGACATCGAATAACCCCAAGAGAAAATGTCTTGAGTATTACGTCCACTGGGCTATGGGTTTTAACCCTGGATTCTGACCACCGTGCTTCTGACGTTGTTGGACAGTTCTGATTCTGACAGGGTACGTCTGCGTTTTCTGCAAACAGGCTGGTTCACACAGCACCGTTTTCTTACGTTGCGTTATGTCACAAAAGCTTACGTCGGCTTACGTCGAGAACCACCGAGAGAGATGTGCTTTGAATGAAGCGTGACGACAAACAAATCGAAAGGTAAAGTGGAAGCTCCTCCCACCTATTTCCACTCACTCAGAGCGAACCCTGGAAAAGGAGTCGCCTCCTCTCCAGGGTTCGCTTTGTTAAAGTGAAAAGAGGCGGGAGGAGCTTCCTCTGGACCCTTCCTTTGATGAAGTGAGAGCAGAAAGAAACGGGGACACGTTTATAACTTGGACACATGAACTAGGAGTAGGGAGGCTGGTTAGGGTGGGCGCAATTGCTAGATTGGGGATCACGGGATATGGACGCCATTTATAGCGAGTTCGTTTCACGGCACTCGTGCCCACGCGTGCCCACTCGCAGCGTGGAGCGGGTTCGTTTCAGCCGGCACTCCACGAGTGGTTGCACTCTCCGAGTTCGTTTCAGCGCTGGCACCCCACGAGAAAATCGGGAGTGCGCCAAAATGCAATCCCGCCATGCCTCGCTCCGGCGAGGAGCGGGAGCAGACGACGACGGTTCGTCTGCTACGATGTGTCGCGGAACCGAAAGGGAAAAAAAAAGTAGATTTTCTGATAGAAATCGCGTCCCGCGGGATACGGAATCAAACGCGAGCTTGAATTGTGAGCGTCTGCTGTTTCACGAAGGAGGCAATTCACAAACCGTGCTTTATTTGCAGGTTTTAAGTCGCTCTGTTGCCATACACACGCTGAAATATACCAGTGTGTCAAGAAATGCTCAGAACAAACGCATCAGCGCCCTACGAAATGTTTATCACCATCCGTGTGCGGATGAAAAATTGAACATTTGTCGACAAAACTCCCCCGACAAATACCTCTGACTGCCCGATAAGCATAGAAAGCTAAACATAGTCACTTTACCCAAGGCTTGGGCAACATCATCATGTTTAACTTTTACCTACGTCAGCTAACTTGCCCCCTCGTATTTTGTTCGAGAAAGCTCTCGTTCTCGACGCGCTCGCCAAGCTAGCTAATAGTACGTAATATCTTGATCGCCGAGCGCGGCCGAACTTCCCGTGTGTATACGAATACATTTAATAATAAGTTCTTAACGAAGGGCAGAACGAACGTATGGCCCTATGAAAGTATTGCAAGCGGCGGCGTTGATTCGCCGAGCTCCTATTTTGCGTGTGCTGACGACGTTTTTCATTCATTTCATTCATTCATTTCATTTATTGTTCCCTTAAAGCGCCCGTAGGGCTTTACATAAGGGGGGGCTTTGGCAGCAAACAAAAACAAACAAAGAAAGGAAAAAACAGGATTAAAGGTTGCTAAATATCGAGAAAAGTAGCAAGTGCAGCTCTGAATCCAGATGAGTCTTGAATTGTAACAATATGTTCTGGCAGAGAGTTCCATTCTGAAAGTGATAATTGCAGTGGAGAGAATTTAAAAAGGTTGGTCCTTGGTGTTACCAGATGAACTTTCTGAGAATGGTCTGTACGAGGAGAAATGTGATGAGCCGCTGGACAGTACAATTCTCTCTTTAAAGGGGCCAGATAATACAAAGCGTGCAATGAAACTAGTCTGGTCAGTTTCCTTCTTTCCGCGAGCAGTGGAAGGCCGAGTTCTTTTTTTAGCGTAGTAATGCTAGTGTGTGTATAGTTTTTAAGAATGAACCGAGTTGCCCTGCTTTGGATCGACTCTAATTTTTATTTTATAACAGAAGTAGCCTTCGCACCGCTTTGCGGAAGGCTCGATCGCGTTGAATCGCTTCGAGCAGCAGCGCTGATGTGTACAGTCACTCGCTTTTTCTTTAACGACCTTGTCCAGACTTCTTCAATACCGGCGTAAAATAAAAGCGGTCGTGCTCGCCATCGTCTGCTTCCATTTTATTCGGAGACCGTCGGGCACAGGGGAGGAAGCGGAAATGCGTAGAAGCAGCTGAGGAGCTGCGCTTTTTTTGCCGTTCAGTAGACGCTCCGAGGACTCCGACTCGAGTTACTCCGTTCGGAGCTGAGGGAGCCGCTACTGAACGCGCCCATTCCCATTCATCACTCCGAACAGAAAGGTGCTAGTTTCGTTTTGGGGTCGGTACCTTTTTTACAACACAGATGGCGGCAGCAACAGTCTTCTGCACTCGGTGCATTTGGCGAGTTCGTTTGAGTCGAGCTCTCCGTGCAGCTATGGTGTGCAACACTCTGCGAGTGCGATGCATTCTGGGACAGAACTCGAACGGTGCCAGTGCGTGTGAAACGAACTCGCCAATCACGGGATATGGACGCCATTTAATTGATAAATCTTGCTGGGAGTCTACGGAGCAAAGGGTCGTTTTATTTCCTAACTCGGGTGATAAGAGCCCATTAAGGTACTTGAATAATTTGCTCAAGGTATAGATGATTACTTTAATTACTAATGATGACTTAGCCACCAGTTTTGTTCCGATAGGTTAAGTATTTTTTAACGCGAAAAATGGTAAATTCCGCTATCTTGGACGTTGCTGCTTGTCTGGCAACCCTGCTTTCTCCTTTCGACGTTAGTTTTCTTCAGCAGTTGTACACAGGCAATAAGGTAGTTAATTATAACATGGGAAGTAGAAACTACACAGCCCGCAGCAATAGAAAGAGGAGCAGGGTTGTCCACTGTCACCTCTGCTCTTAATGATGTATCTCAGTGAAATGGAAAAGAAATTAGAGCAGATCAACTTAGGTTTTGAGGTGAGTTATATGGAAGGAGGGAGAAATGTAATACAGGTAATACCAGGACTGATGTATGTGGATGACATAATACTCTTAGCAGATAATCAGAATACGTTACAGGAACTAGCTGGAATATCTGGAGTGGAATGGGACACTTTGGTTATGAGTTTTAGTAGTGACAAGTCTGGAGTTATGGTGTTTAACGACGAAAAGAGGGAACCCCTGAAGATACAAGACATTATAATATACCATGTAGGGAAATACAAATATATGGGAGTCTGGTTCAGTGAGGGAAGGGAATATCTAGAGAAACAAGAGGAGAATATCATTAGAAAAGGGAAAAGAAATTCATCTATTGTGAAGCTCAAGGCACTGTGTAACTATAATGGATATGAAGTGGTCAGAGGTATATGGAAAGGAGTGATGGTACCATGACTGTCTTTTCGCAATGCAGTGCTGTGCAGAGGTTCAATCTGGATTAGAAATTCAACAAAGAAGCATAGGCAGATTGGCACTGGTAGCACATGGAAAAACACCAAATGAGGGAGTACAGGGGGACATGGGATGGTCGTCTTTTGAGAGCAGGTAAGTTGTTGGTTGCGCCTCAATTCGCCCGCTAGAGTCAGCCGATTTTGGCAACTTGGCGCGTAGCAAAGTTTGCCGGACCGCTTCAGAAGCATTTGGACAGAACTGGGTCGTAATACTTGACGTGTGGTCTTCCTAGCTGACATCGGAGAGGGCTGCATTGTTTTTTTTTTCAAAAACAAAAATGAAGCAGAGTTGTTCTTTAAACGGTGAGGCCGTGGTACGGCAGCCACAGCGTCGTCTGCTCCATAGCAGCGTCTGCTCGCGGCGGGTAACACTGTCTGCCCGAGCGGTGGGTAGTTGACGTAGCTCTTTGTGCCACGTGATTTGCTTAGCTCTCTTGTTTGACGATGCAAGATCAGAGCCGTATATAAAAATAATTTGATCGATGGGAGGAGCAGCGAAACCGGCGCTGCTCCACCCATGGGCAGACACTCTATTTTACAGTGTTTCGATTTCATTTGAATCAACTTTCAGGAACTCAAGCGACTCATTGCCGTGAACGGCTTCGGGAGCTTGGATCTAGTCTATTTCATGCTGGACTTTGAACAAGCTGCGATCACCGCAGCGTAAACTGCATTTCCCAACACCGTCATTCATGGCTGCCTCTTCCATCTTGCCCAATCAGTTATGAGGCACGTGGACAGCTGTTATCTCAGGAGGCGGTGCAGGACCAATGAAGCCTTTCCACGGGGAGTAAAAAATCTCACAGCACTACTTCTTCCCCTGGGAAGGTTGTGAATGGTATGTATACAATTTTATATAAATGACAACCAGTAGTTTATCAAGATAGTATAATGCTGTTGATACACTATTTAAGCAGCACAGTGCCACGATGTAGTGTTTAGAAAAATTTCGGGGTTTGAGAAAGTCTCGAGTTGGCGCCATGCTTCGCATCGAAAATTCTTCCATGAACTGTAACAAAACCATTGACTTTGTTGCGGGAGAGCTTTCCCTAGAGACAAACTGAGCAATCAGAGGGGCCCTGCGGCTTGTTGGAGTTGACACGTGGATCAGAAGAATCATGTCTAGTAGTGGCATGCATCCATTCGCATCTAAAGCTTTTTCTTATTGTTGTTTCCTATTATTTCATTCTGGAAATCTTCAACTCACAACATTGCATACATAAAGTATCTATTGAGGGAGCCTGACCTGTCGAAGTGTCTATACTCCCACACTACTTTATGAGCACATGCGTCCGGTTGCACTTCGAGCTTTGAGCTGTCGATGGGCACACCAGTCAACCCATATTAGTGTGCCCCTGCATGTCGGGCTAACAAGCCCCTAGCTAGGATATCGACGGCACTTAAAGACCAGAGAGCTATAAGTGGACCATGTTAATATAGATAAGAGATGGAGAAGAGTAAGTCGCGGCGGTTCAAGCGGGGTACATGCACACACCGGAGCCAATTGAGTGACAGTTAATGTGACGGCATGCTGCACACAGTCGTGTGGAGCATGGAAACAAAATGATCGCATGGCACTGTAGCCAGCACATTCGAGAAATAAAACAAAGTAGTCTCACAGTGTTTCGCATCATCATCCCTCTCCCCCCTTTCCCCATCGCCTCCCCAAGTCGAGCTCTGAGCGGCTAGCGCCCCAGTAAATCTGTAGTTGCAAGTCGAAAGCTGTGTCGTCTGTTTCGTCCTCTTATGTGTTTCTTTCGTTTTAAGTCAAAATGAGAACCTTTGGATGTTTCTCACTCATACGATTTCACAGATACTATGCACAAAATACAGAGTATCAGTGGGTGCTCTAAGATTGAGAGTCAACCCTGAAAGGAAAAGCAGGGACAACGAGGGTTCCTCCTTACATCTCTTGTCCCGTCAGACATTACATGGACGCACATGGCATACCTCCCACTCAATATCTCAACGGAATTCATTTGGGTAAATATTCTCCCTGTACTTTTTTTTTTTATGGGCAAAGGCAGTTTTCTCTTGCATGCAAGTTCTCTCTTGTTTTGATCGAGTGCTCTTGCTATAGTCATCGGCGACATCAAGGAGCATTAGCCAGTGTACTTGATTTTCAAACATACCGGCCTCTACTCAAAGTTAAGACGTGCCGGCGCATTAACGAATGATTTTTAGACCGCCACCCTTGCAGACGCGGCAACAGATTGAGCAGACGGGCGATCCAAATGACTTAGGCAACTGGATTGAGGAAAGCTAGAAATAGTACAGAGTCAGAATGAGCGCGGGTTTACGTCGCCCAAATATGTCTCTGATCATGCTTTCCGAGTTCTGCCATTGATGGAAACACTTGCCATGCTTCCGAAACTTGCCATTACCAAAAACAATGCGAATAGAGATTGCTTACAAAGGCATAAAAAAATGGCAGGAAGCATTCACCTGCGTAGTGGCAGATGGCTTGCAAGAAGCCAAACGGAGTTTCATGAAACCGCCATATCATACTCCTACTAGGTATTTATAACTTGCTCAAGTGTGTATTTGCCTATGTATAGGATGTGCCTGCTAACATGCACCAAATTTTATAAAAAGACGGGGGGCTCTATGTACATGAAAGACACTGTATCTGTTTACCAAAGGTCTTGCAAACCATTCATGATTTTTGTTTTAGCATATTTAACGAATTACTCCTAATCAGCCAACTTTTACATTCCGTGTAAACACTGTAAATGGCTCTATTTTCGCGAGCTCAATATTCCGCTAGTTTCTCAAACTGTTGACTTCGGAAAAAACCCGCAGACACATTTTTACGATTCAGTGTGCTATGCTTATGTATTTCTTTCCGCGGGATTAATTATTCGGGGCCCAGCTGTTCGCATTTATTTTCAAATTGTGAAATTTGCGAAAATTTGGTCTCCGAGAAACTTTCCGTTTAGTGTGGTACAAACCCTTGGACCTCCATGCTTTCAGTTTGATTAAAGATGAGGTCCTGAAGGAGCTAAGCCTATTAGTGGAAGATTGACTGCCATTCTGAGGTTTAGTTCCATATCACATGAGCAAAAACGTCTGAGCCAGCGAAGTTGCAGCGAACAAAGATAATTTAAATAAACTTGCGTTTTAACAAACAGCGTAAGACAGATTTTTTTTTTCTTCAGATAGATGGGCTGGATATGAATAAATAATACTATGAGCCCTAAAGCTGACTATCACTGGGGCGCATGCTAACCTACCTGGGTGCTCCATCCCGCCGCTCCACAGTTGCTCTACCGAAAATCTGATGATTGTTTGGTAAGCTGATTTTTAATATGGGCAGGACGAAAACAAGATGCCGGTTTCCAAGGTGAGCGGCAACTGCCATTCACTGAAGTGTCAGTCAAGGAAACATTGTCGGCGGGGCTTCATTCATCGAAAAAAAAAAAATCTGCATCGATCAAGTGAGTGCCTCTCCTGAGGTTCATGCATATGTATATGTATCCTCTTCAGTATATGTATTATCATCAACAATACAAAGGTTGCCTGCTCCATATTGGCAGCGTCATGCAGCGGCACGGGCTTACTCTCCTTATTGCACGCCTTGCTGCGTGAACGACAAAGAGAGTAAGTTGCTGCAGCTGCCGCAGCATGACACTGCCAGTACAGAGCAGGTGGTGAACACCTGTTCACCTTTTTACTGTTGACGATGGTACATTAGGTGCACCCCTCACTGCACATATAAAAACAAGAGTGCAAGAAGTTGAAGACGCTCTGTTGAATAATACAAACTTTAATGCACCCTGATACAGTTAGATTGGGATGACAGAATATGCAGTAAATTCCAAGTTGGGATGCCATGTGGACACAGTGAGCTTGGCAAGCCTCGCTGCCGCAGGTCACATGAGATCGCACGACCGGGAGAGAGTCAATCAAAATCGGCTAGTTGATACGCTATGGGGCATGAAGTTGCATGACCATGTAAGTGTTCTTTGTGGCACTCCTTTCTGGTGCTCCTGTATGCAGCTTTCCCTTGGAAACCAGCCCCTAAAAACATTTTCTGTTAATCCCCTAGATTTTGGGCTTGAAATCCCTTGGGACTGGCATTTCTGAAACCTAAAATTTACCTGAATTGTTGAAGGTTCAGTTCGAGGACGAAGAGGACGTCATGGTGGTCTTCAACTGGTTTGAGGAGTATCACATCCTCGGAAAGCTCCGCACCAACCACGGGATCGGGATAAGAATTCCACCACAGCTTCCACCAGCCTTGTGGACCGTAGAGCCTCTCATGGAAAACCACCAACCTCGAGGCACGAACTGCCTGGTGGCATGGCATCGGCGACTCGGGGTCCTGATCAGAGAGACGCACCCTGGCCTCCTTTTCCTGCGCCGCCTGCGGGCTGAGCAGGATCAGATTGAGAGGGTATGGAAAGTGCTGACCTGCACGGCCAACAGCGACCCCGAAAGAGTATTTTACGTGGGGGTGCTAGCGGTCGAATTAAAGGGAGGAGGAGGAGGAGGAAAGAGGGGGAGGGCGGGAGGGAAGGAGGGGGGTTAAAACAAAAAGAAACAGCCATCGCCAAGATTTGACTGTGTAGAGAAGGTTTATTATCACTACCTATACCATGTGTCCATACATATTCATACAAAATACCTGTCACGAAGCAATGAGATGTTGACACAATCTAATCCAGTAGCTGTACGGTGGCATCGATTACGGTGTCGATGTAAAATGCACTGAAGAATCCGGTGCGTGCACGTAGAAAGCTGACATTTTCAACAAAGGTGTATATTTTAATCGTGGACGCATTCCTGAGAAATTTCTCGGCGCAGCTTCGTTCCTGTAAAAAGTTATAGCAATGCATCCTTGAAAAAAAAAAAAAAAAAAAAACGTTTATTACCGGTGGACGCGGTCGTCATTCGGAGGTAAACCTTTACTGGCGATGCCTTTTTTTATTTCATCATGTTTCCTGTCTCTATGGTCGTCTTTCAAAAGAGGATAAAACCAGTCATGGGCACGTTACTACTAAAATGTAAAAGTGTTATACTTAGGGAAAAAAAGTAACCCTGCTACAGTTAGTTACAAAACTTAAAGAGTAACTTGTTACATTTACTTCGCTAAAGTAACACCGCTACTTTGTCGTTATATTAAAAAAAATAATTTAACAGATTTTTCGTAAAACATTGTGTTCACGGTAGTGAATCTGGTTTTTTGAAAAACTATGATTTTCCTAATAACATATATATTAACATGTTTGATACTTCCTAATTCAATTTTTACCATGAATTGCTTCCTGAACGAGTAAATCCACTATATGATAAAACAATTAAGGTTATTTGGCAAGAAAAAAAAAAGGTGACTAGTTTTTTAGAGATTCATAAAGAACTTTGAAATTATGCGCGACCACCATAAGGTATACACGAATACAACAGCACGCGTCTAGATCTCGGGTATATCCAATCATGGTGCGAGTTTATACCATCGATCAATTCTAATTTCGGATTTCTTTGGTGAAGCGAAATGGGACGGAAGCAACAAACATCGCGCACATGTCGAGTCAATAATAATAGAAGTCATACCTTGCAATCAGCTTTGTAAATGTTCTCTTATGCCCCTCCAATCCACTCGTAAATCGAATTTTTTTCTACTGCTTGTGCACAATCTTTCGTGAAACACGAAGCTTCTCTTGAAAATAGGAGAGCAATGCAGCATTGATTCGTCAAACCTGCTGAACACGGCCGTGAACACGGCAGCGGTGCAAACGAAGCACTGATCGAGGTACAAACGGCCACTGCGTGTACAATTTCAAACGGCTTTCGCGATCTTTTCTCGGGTCGGACACGTTTGCGCTCTTCCATGTCCCCACCCCAACCGGAAGAGACCACCCGGAAAGCCCACGACGTGAATATCCATAAATCAAGTAATGACAAGTGCCTCTGGTCCCGGCTAAAGGCGGTCTTCAAATTTTAAGAAAGCACACAAACTAGCAGAACGACACAGACGGTTCGAGCGAATACCCTTTCTCAAGTGACGGGACCTGCGAAGCAGAGCAATGGGGTACAAGTGGGCGACAGGAGGCGAGGTCGGTAATTGCGTTGCAAAAAAAGGGGAGGGGAGAGCAAATCGAGTCCCGCAAAAGTCGAGACCCCGCAAGAGTTCATCTGGGAGTTGGACGGTTCAGCGTATGCTTGGCGGCAAAATACGAGGTTCAGAAAGTCGGTTGTCCCGTAAGCCTGCGGGCGTTTGGGGTGACAATCACCAAGAACTGTCCTCCGCGAAAAGCATTTGCTTCCTCCGCCGGACGAAGAAAAGAAAAGCACTTTGGAGATGCCGCGCTTCCCTACATCTGCGTGTGCTGTGGGCGATACACGGCGGGTATGGAAACAAACGTCCCTGTGATGATGTGACTCAATGTGTAAATGAAGAAGTGCAAGTCAACCATGGATCGGCTCAGAGGGAGAAGGAAGATGACGAAGAAGAGAAGAGATTGAGAGTGCGTGCACGGAGAGCGTGCAAAGGACTGGCCGGGAGAACGTGCTGGGTCGGAACGACACTATCGACCAGGGCAATCGGCGGTTTGCTCCTACTGTCTGACCGGCAGCCTGTTCCAGCGAGGGCAGCGCATAGAAACCTACGCTGTCCGGCTTCTTACTGCGCGAGCACTTGGTGCGGTGACTCTTGGGTCATCGACGGAAACCAACCGCTCCCGCTCCTGACTGCCTGCCACAACCGTGGGCCGACAACGACAGCTCCAGACACAAGACCCTCTGCTGCGCAGGGTGATTCAAAGACATGGTGACTGTTGCGTTTTCCTTTCTTCCATTTTTGTTAACTAAGTGTTCTTTTTTTTTTTCTTTTAGTATAAGCATATGATCTCTTTGATTTCTTTGGTAAATGCATGTTTCAAGAAAAACGAAGGACATTGTATCTTGTCAATTATTAACCCCAAAGAACCTCGCAACAATTAACTGGCGTCGGCGACAGGACAAGATATTCTGTTCCCTCGTTTTTCTACGTAACAATAATTAATCAGAATGGAGGTTAAAGAGTTAATGTCTTTGGGTGCTGAGTTGGGACTGGCAGGAGCGGAGCTGAGGTCTTGGGTGAACGAGGAGCGAGCACGCCAACGAGAAGAGAGGGCTGCTGAGAGGGAAGCACAGCGCCTCAAGGCAGAAAGTGAGCAACGCACGATCGAATTAAAGATTTGTCTTGCAGAGGCTAGCGCAACCGAGACAGGACGAACAGATGGCAATGAAGGGTCACGTCGCGCATCTATATCGCTATCTCCTAGTCCTCACAAGCTTATGCCTCCCTTCGATGACAAAAGGGACGATCTCGACTCGTATTTGAGGAGATTTGAGCGGGTAGCGCAGGGGCAAGATTCGCCGCAAGAGAAGTGGGCGACTGCTCTAAGCATGTGCCTGGTTGGCCCAGCTCTGGAGGTCCTACGTAGGATGTCGCCTGAAGACTCTTTGGATTATGATAGAGTGAAGAGGGCTTTGCTCCAGCGGTTCCGTTACACGGCAGAGGGGTACCGCGAGAAATTTAGAGAGAGCAAGCCGTTAGACGGAGAGACAGGGAGCCAGTTTGCTGCAAGACTAGAGGGGTTTTTCGACCGCTGGGTCAGTATGAACGTATGCCCAAAAACGTATGAAGGGGTTCGTGACGAGATGATCGGGGAGCAATTTCTTCGGAATTGTCATCCGAGGCTCGCGGTCTTCTTAAAGGAAAGAAGCTGTAAGACCGTCTCGGCGTTGGCTGAAATGGCGGACCACTTCCTGGAGGTGCAGAGCCAGCCTAATCTGGCCAATTTTAGGAGGGAGGCAAAAGTAGCCTTAGATTCACTGAAGGAATATGCGCAGGGCAGCAAACGCGCTCCAACGATAAAATGTTTCTTGTGTGGTAAGTTGGGCCACAAGGCAACAGAGTGCCGATCAAAGCCAGAAACACACGGGTTCTGTCAAGCGTGTCAGAGATCAGGCCATGAGTCCAGATCATGTCCGCGAGGAAAGAACGGAAAGACAGAAGTTTCATGTTTCGAGAAACCCGACGATGATCCTGTTGGTAAGACGAACGCGTTCTTACGGGGAAAGAAGAAAATCTCAACAAACGCCTTTAGAACGTCCCCCAAGGATATGACTGAAAAGGCGAGGCCAATTGTGTCGGAAGGTATGCCGATCACAGATGGGGTATTAAACGGCAAAGCAGTAAAGGTGTTGAGGAACACCGGGAGTAACACCGTGATAGTGCGCCGGGAACTGGTCGCATGTGAAGATTTTACGGGCAAGTCAGTCCCGTATTCTTAGTGGACGGGACGTGTCTGATGTTGCCAGAGGCAAACATTCACCTTGTGTCGCCGTTCCTAACGGGACAGGTAACCGCCAAGTGTATGGACCGTCCTCTGTATGACTTCATTGTGGGGAATATTCATGGAGCGAAAGACTCGACCGAGCAAACCCTGAAGGAGGTGGCTGACGCGGAAGGTGAGGTCGTCGCTGCCGTCGACGGCCGTAGGCCGGGTAGATTAGACCAACTTAGTAACGTTGGGGGCGAACGGATCGCCAGGGATGTGCTAAGGAAACTTCAGGTGGAAGATCCATCGTTGGAGTTATGTAGAAAACAAATAGACAACGGTGCACGCGACGAAGGGAGGAAACAGAATAAACTTTTACGAGAAAAAAAGGGCTTATAATGCGCTGCTGCAGATTATCAACGGGCCGAGAAATACATCAGGTGGTGGTGCCGAAGATGCTGCGCAGCAAGGTACTACAGGTGGCGCACGACATTGCTTTGGCCGGACACCAAGGTGTAAAACAGACAACTGACCGGGTGCTGGCAACCTTTTATTGGCCCGGTGCCCTGGCCGATATCAAGAGATATGTCAGTTCATGCGACGTGTGCCAGCGAACAATCCCAAGGGGGACAGTAGGAAAGGCGCCGCTGAGAAACATGCCTATCATCGACACGCCCTTCGAACGAGTGGCCCTTGATATAGTATAGTTCGTCCTTTTTCTCCAACGGCTGCGGGAGGTTATCGGTATGTACTGACAATGGTGGATTTTGCCACCCGATACCCCGACGCTATACCCTTGAAGAGAGTCGACTCGCTTACCGCTCATTCACACTGAAAGCGGATCCGCGTTCGCAAAGCGGTTGCGAACGCGGTTGTATAAAGATTCAGTACAATTGCACGCGCACACGATGACATCAAATGCGCGTGCAATTGCACTGGCTTTCGCAACCGCTTCGCGAACGCGGATCCGCTTCCAGTGTGAATGGGGGGTTACAGTGGCGGAAGGACTACTCGAAATGTTCTCAAGAGTAGGCCTCCCACGAGAAATTTTGTCTGACAGGGGTCGTAGTTTCACATCAGACCTAATGCGAGAGGTGACAGAGCTGTTATCAGTTAGACATCTCCTGTCAACGCCCTACCACCCCATGTGCAACGGTCTTATAGAACGTTTTAATGGGACTCTCAAGCAAATGCTTAAAATGATGTGCT